TTGTTAACGCCTCTCTTATACAGTGCGGAGTTGGGTAGAAAGACAAAGATCGCTGTTTCTTTTACTTTTAAATCAAATCAAATACGTACAGTCAGACAAAGAACCTATGCGGACGTGTCACTTCAGTCTGGAATCTTCTTCAAGGACGACGTCCCTGCTGACTTTGGTGTACATGTGGGGTATAAAATGATCAGGCGGCCGCTTCCTGAGCTGCCCCACTGTGTTTCCGCAGCAGAGGAAGTGGCAGCCGGCTGTCTCAGTTGGAGCTGGTGTACTGAGGTGTACAGCGTGACTGCTTGATGGAGCGTGTGAGCCGGGCAGATCCTGCGGTCATACCGCTGCACTGCTGCTTGGGGCTGGCGGGTAGGCAGCCTGTCCCTCAACATTGCAGTATTTCCAGCACTTGAAACAGCTTGACGACGATTAACGTCAAATTGGCTTAAGCTGCGAATTTAAGCAATAAATTTCATTACATCGCTTCAAATCTCAACAAATCAGGAGCACACACATTAACACTCGCATCTCGGGCTTCGCACTTGCATATCAGGCTTGCATCGCTGGTGCTGCGTTTTCGGGGCCCAGGAAGATTGAGGGTGTGGACAGACGGGACCTCAGAGGGCAGCTTAGCTCATGTCAGGCCCATCCTTGTGTGTGTGTGTGTGTGTGGGGGGGGGGGGGGGGGGGGGGGGGGGCTTATCAGGTGTTTTCATTTTGAGAAGCCACTTAAACTATCAACAAGTTCCCTAATGCGCAAGTTCATGTTTATATTTTTGTAGCGACAATCACTTCCTTTGGTGGGTCAGACTGAAGCAGTCTTAGTGAGGACTGCCCCCCCCCTTGCCCCCCAAGTGGTTTGCTGGAGTTCCCAGCACTCCCAATCTCCTGACTTGAAAGTCATTTCCTAAGTAAAACACATGACAGACAGGCCGCGTGACTGATCGTGTTTGTGTCCGCACCTTGTTTTCTCACGGGGGCGGGTGCCTGTGCCCCCCCATCCCTTCCTTGGGGAACCTCTCTTCAAACATAGCCTCATGCAATCTCATGCCGGTACCCTCCAGGTGATGAATGGGACCCAGATCAGCCCCATGCCTCCCACTGAAGTGCCCCCCCCCCCGCACCGATGCCTGAACCAAAAAGAGAGAATTCTACTGGGAGGTCACTGCTGTAAAGGAACGGAGGGGAACCATCGCTGTCATGAAGACCACATTTCAGCTCGTTCTCTGAAAGGCCTCAACAAGGGTGTACAAGTATGTGACAATAAATAAATTCCTGGGGTATGGGGGTAAAGTTGAGAGCTAAAACATTGACCAAAAACATAAAGTGACACACTGATTTACAGTATGAACTCGGGCCGGGCCAAAGCGACACCCTGAT